CATTTTGACTATATACTAGTATATATTTTTGTTTATTACTTTTATGTCAAATACTAAGTAATGTGTATTAATGAAAAGAATATTTGACAAAATTAAATAGCTTTAACAAAGATCAAAGTATGGTTTCTTTTTTTTCCTTTTGCCAGCCTATTGACAAGAACAAATATACTTGATGGGTGGGGTAAATAATTAACTTACGCCCGTTACATCTATCAGTATCACAGCATTGTATATGCACGGCGCTTGAACTTCTACCAAATATCTGAGGAGTCAAAGCCGCATGTGGAACACAAACCTTAAAGAATAGAAATAGAAGGATGGAGATAAGAAAAAGAAATATTTATCCTTTTCTTTTCTGATCTGTTCAGTTTGTGTGTGTGTGTGTGTGTGTGTGTGTGTGTGTGCGTGCGTGCGTGCGTGTGTGCGTGCGTGCGTGCGTGCGTGCGTGTGTGTGTGGTGTGTGTGCGTGCGTGCTTGTGTGTGTGTTTTTGTTTATTATTATTATCATTATTATTATTATTATTATTATTATTATTATTATTATTATTATTATTATTATATTATTATTATTATTATTGTGGGGTTGTGGTTCCAAGCTACTTATACACATTAATGTTAAATTTTCATGCTTATATCTCGTTCTAAAAGCTTACTTTGTCCGACAAAAAGCATATCCATGCAGTTTACTTAAAAATTAGATATTTATAAGCCAATTCTTGTACTCTCAAATACATGCATTATAAAAACAAACAACGACAACAAAGACCGATGTTTAAGCTAAGCCTTAATCAACAATAAGTAAAAAAAACTTTAGACATTAAATATCAATGCCCTAATTATTTATTTATCAGTCGTTTAGTTCTCAATCAAAGGTGAGACACAGAACATAGGCTTAGATTATTTTTTTTATTACATTCTGGCCTAATGCGTATTTGACAATGTCACGTGAAGTGTCTTTGCGAAACGTAGCAAGTAATTTCTTTGAATCAAGGCATATTGACAAATGTCATTTAAAAATATTGTAAAATACCTCTTTGCCTATACATCCGCCGCGGAAGCCGTGACTCTGATCAAAATCTGTAACCTCCATTGAATAACAAACCTGCAAATAATGATAAAATATTCAAAGACATTTTTGATCGCCGTAAGAAGTCCGTAAAAAGAGATCTATTACAGGCTTACATTTGCTGGGAACCTTCTTCTTGGTCGCAACTAGATCTTTATAAAGATTAGTTATTTCAGAATTAGTAATAGAAAGAGCATCGAAACACCAGGCTATCTGATTTGTACGAGGGGGCGTAGCTGAGTGTTTTTATCATAAAAAACACGTTCCCTGTTGCCACAATATCAAACCCCAGAAAAAAGTAACCAATGAAATGATATCTATCGCTTTCCCTTTCTCTGCTGTCATAATAAGTAAACCCCAGCAAATATGAGCCAATCAATGGCCATGCTCTGGAGTCTGGGACTCCAGTTAACGCACTGTGCATGTATATGATTGTATACGGTTTAATGAAAGGTCCCTAAACTATGATACAACTTTGGTTTTAATTTTTGGCAACATCCTCTTATTTATCAACACTATCTTTATAAAGAATATTTATTATTTGACATACCTGGTCCACATCACAAACAAATGTGTTACTCTGGGAAAGGTCTGGCACAAGATTTGAGGAGGTGAAACATTCAAGAGCTGTAATAAATGATACACTTAATGATAACAAGGCTCTCAATTATTCATTCTTAACCTCTTGTCAGTTATACCCGGTAAATGCCTTTGTTTTTTTAAGTGCTAATTTCAAACTTTCATGTACGGATAAGTATTTATTTTTTCAATTTATATTTATTATTCTCGTGCCTTTTCTCACGATTTTCTCACGATTCACGAATATATGTAAAGTAATTTCTTTTTATTTGCATATCCGTACTTAGGCTTATTCATGAACTTGCTTTCATGCAATTTCATTTTTTTTGCTTGTCCTTCGACTGTTTTGGAGACTATCGGTCGAGTAGCTTATATTTGTATACGCCATTGAAATAAAAACCTCATTACATCACGATGTACAATGTACAATTGTATCATATCATCCGGGTACTGCTGAAAGGGGCTTTTCACTGAGGTTTCTTTAAGATTATGGATTGGACATGATTTTTTTCTCAATATTTTAATACTGTTCGATGAAGGTATACACCAATAACGTGTGTACAACATTCAAATACCCTCATACCGTTTCTTCTTTTTTTTACAGAAAAGTAATTTTTATAGTGCAAAAAAGACCTTAATTAAACGGGCTAACAATCGCACTCATTATCGATGTTCAAGTTTATTCTAAGAATTATTTATTTCGTTTGAATTTAATGCCCTAGTTGTTTTATGTAAATGTGCTTATTTAACTGTTCTATAGGCTTTTGGACTACTTCCTGAAGGTAAGGTCGCTGGGTCTGTGCAGTTGTCCTTTGCCAATAAATATATCAAGTACCCTCAAAATCATTATTATTCTGCTCTTTGTGTAGACAACAACTAAATTTCGTTGGCACGAAATGAAGTAAGTTATCAGCATCAATTGTTTTTAAAGAGTACAGAAAGAATGTAAACAAGAATAAATTAGCATACGGCATTTCCCGCAATATCTCGGACAAGCTGTATCTCCGATACTTGTATCACAAATGCCCGGCTGATCGCGATGCATCAACTTGCAAGCGTCTGTGTTCACATCAGCGCATGCGTAGTCTCCTGAACTTACGCGGAGTAACGCCACGATACTCAAACCTACAGGGGGAAAAAGCAGAATTCATACGAGACATAAAATGGGATATTACATGGGCATTAATATCTATGTGAAACAAAATAAAGAAAATGGCATTTCCTTTCACTCTTGTAGATCGGATATACATGTACAAAACTGACCAATTTCGATAAAAAAAAAATAAAGTGATAATTACAATAATTAATTTGAGTCTCTAAAACTAGTCTGTCTTTTGTTTTCACCACGATTTCATAATATAAAAGTACAAACAAAAATGAAGCTTAAGCAATAAAACGAAACTCACATAAATAGTTTATGATTCCGACTTTTGTCCTCATTTCAGAAAAAATTTATTCTGATAACAGCCAGAGCTAGGTCACGTTTCAACTTATCTTATATTCCGGTGTTATCAACTAAATCGTGATCAAAGAAGTTGAGATTTTCTTTAAAAGTCGTTTGAAAATTAAATCAACTTTCTCACCAGACGGTCAATGAATCTACAGCTGTTCCTTCCTTCTTCTTCTTCTTCTTCTTCTTCTTCTTCTTCTTCTTCTTTTCTTCTTACGACTGTTGTTGTTGTTGTTGATGGTGGTGATGATGATGACGATGTTGGTGATGATGATGATGTTGGAGATGATGATAATGATGATGATGATGTCACTTATGATAATTATACTGATGATAATACTGATATTAATAATACTGACGATACCGATGATAATTATGATGCCGACGACGAAACTACTGCTGTTGATACTGTTGTTGAATAAGTTGTAGTTGCTGTTGTTCTTTCAAAAAAGTGACCAATCCATTTGCTTAAATAAACAGATATCTTTACCATAAGAGGCAGATTTGTTAGGTAGGCACATTTTAATTAAGATTAAGATGAGCTTTAGAATTAGTATAATTATTTTCTTTTAACACGTTTCCAATTTTTCTTTTCGCATTCAAATTATTACCATTAAGTCTCAAAAGAATTATTTGAAAAACTTACACTATCTTGCTAAGTAAACACATTCTACTTTACGGGGGGAGAAATATGTATACATGCGACAGCAAAATTAAACATGATTTGTATTTTTTTTTTATTTACTCAAACGCATTAAGTTTTTTTAACAAAAAGAATAACAAAATAGCAAATCGATAGAGCACGCCATTGTCTTTCCAGTCATTTCTGAAATTAAAGAACTTCATTAAAACATTGCTTTATGCAATAATATTAAAGTTTACCATAGAAGTAGTGTCGTGGCCGAGTGGTTAACTCGTCGGACTGGTAATGTAAGGTTTGCTGGCCCCGTGGGCGCAAACCCTTTCAACGGCAATCCAGAAACAGATTCAAAAGTGTAGCTTCCTACACAACAGTATAAACTAAACTACTATGACGTGTATAATCTGGTACACTTTTACAAGATATACCCATCTTTAACCAGATATGCAGATTTTGCATATCACTATATCATGTAGCTAGCTTACATGCATAGATATAATCTTTACAATTCAATGAATTATGTAGTGTGATATTATTTTTTTGTGTGAAAATTGACAATAATTATTAATTATCATAGCTATATACACCAACACTTAAGGACCACAATGGAAACAGGGGACCAATTTCAATGCAAATTCGATTTTGTACAACTTGAGAGGGTCTTCTTTGCACATGAAAAGGCTTAAAGCCCTAACCAAAAGAACATTTCCAGGAGATTTCCGCATTGCTTGGTCATTTTTTGCACACAGGCGATTTGTTCTTTTTCTATATAAATTTTGGGGAAAAAAACATCAATTTTACGAGTTTACCCTTCAAAAATCGTTTGACCAATTCCAGTGCAAATTCGATTTTGTACAACTTTGGAGGGTCTTCTTTGAACGTTATAAGGCCTAAAGCCCTAACCCAAGTAATATGTCCAGGAGATTTCCGCGTGGCTTGGTCCTTTTTTGCACAGGCGATTTGTTCTTTATTTATATAAATTTCGGAAAAAAACATCAATTTTACGAGCCTACCGTTCAAAAACCATTTGACCAATTCAAATGCAAATTCGATTTTGTACAACTTGAGAAGGTCTTCTTTGCACATGAAAAGGCTTAAAGCCCTAACCCAAAGAACATTTCCAGGAGATTTCCGCACGGCTTGGTCATTTTTTTTTTTTTTTTTTTCATTTATTTTATTTTTCAAAAACATATAAACACAATCATTCACATTTACATAGAAACTCCACACAGAAAAAAAGTAAAAAACAAAACTTTCAAAAAATTCAGAAAGAAAAAGAATAAATCTACTTAAAAACTATCATTCTTACACTAAACAAAACACACACACACACACACACACACACACACACACGAACACACACACACACACACAAGACAGGGAAAAAAAAGACAAGTGAATCAGTTTCATTTAATTTTTTACGTTTTATGGTTTATACGTTTAATTTACATAATATTATTGTTTTAGTCATCAGTATTGTTTGTTAAAGTGTTAGATAATTTACACCATTTTTGTTTGTACGATTCAATTTTATCACTTGACAGTGCAATTGCTTCTTCAATCTGTATCCTTAACCGCAAAAAGTTTTTAAAAATATCAAAAGTGGGCTTTCTTCCTTGATATTTCATTTTTAAAATGTAATATTTCATTAGAATAATGATATAATTTACTACAATACTATTTATATTGGTTGTAAGCTCTCCAAAAAACACTGTTTCTTTACTGTATGAAAAATGAAGATTAATGGATAAGAGAAAGGAATGCAAGTTTGACCATAAATTTTGCACAATATTACATTCCCAAAATAGATGATGAAGTGTTTCTAAACTACTGCAGCAAAAATCACACAAATTTGAATTGCATAGATTATATTTGAAAAGCATAGTGTTTGTTGCAGTAAGTCTATGGATGAACTTATACTGAAAATTTCTTAATGTCACATCTGTAGTACATTGTAGTGGTATAGTATATATCTTAATCCAATTCAATTCTATATCTATTTCTTTTTCCCATTGCTCTTCATTTTTATTTTTTTCCTTCTCATCATTTTCAAGTTGGATATTATATAAAAGTTTATTAATTGTTTTGGATTTTTGAATTTTATTGAGAAGCGTATCTTGTTCTTCCATATAAGTTGTGTTATTTTTTAGTTTCTCAAGGTATTGTTTTGGTATATTGTTTATTAGCATAAAGTATCTTAAATAATCAGCATTTTCTATTCCGTAAATTTCTTTAAAATCATCATATTTATAAAAGGCTTTTTCTCCTATAATCATAAAAATGTTCTATATAAAGTATGCCTTTATCATGCCATGTTTATAATAAACCAGTTTGTTGTCAATTTTAATGCTAGAATTATTCCATACTATGTCTTTAACATTATCTTTGTTTTTATTGTGCTCATGCTGAATGTGAAACCAAGACGAAAGAACATTATTCATGAACGAATTATGTGGATATAAATTATTGATATCATTTTTTGAAAGATTACACTGGAAGATAAAATCATTTCCATTTTGCTTTATCTTGTGTTTTTACAAAAAGTTTCCATGAACTCTCATTTTCTTTGTTTATATACTTTTTACCCAGCTTGCTTTTACTGCATTAAGATAATATGTAATGTCTATCATTTTAAGTCCACCATTTTTTATATTAAGTTTTAAAGTTTTGCGTTTATTTTTTCTGGTTTTCCTGCCCATAGAAAGTGAAACATCGCTTTAGTTATTTCTTTCATCTTATCATTGGATGGGTTTGCTAAAACTGAAAAAGGATATATTAATTTTGGCAATGCAAAAGTTTTTATCACTATTACTTTTCCCATTAACGTAAGCTTTCTGTGTTGCCACTGCTTTAAGCAATTGAAAAAATCTTGAAGTTTAGGTTCTAAATTTATGTTTGTATTTTTCTTGTAATCTGACGAAAAATAAAAAGCCTAATGTTTTTGCTGAATCAGATGTCCACTTAAATTTTCTATTTTTTACAATATTCTATGTTAGTATCTTTAAATGACCCGACTCGTAATATTGTTGATTTCTTTGAATTAAGGTTTAAACCGGAAATTTTACTAAATTCTGATATCACATAGACAAGTTTTTCGAAAGATTTAACTGAACCATCGTTTACGAAAGTTGCATCATCTGCAAAGAAGGATTGTTTTATTTCTTTGTCCTCAACTTTTATTCCTTTTATTTCACTATCTTTTTCTATGTAATTGGATAAAATTTCTAAACAGACGATGAATAATGATGATGATAAAGGACATCCTTGTCGAACACCCCTTTCTATGGTAAAAGGTTCTGAGAAATGACCATTATTTACAATAATACTTGAAATATCAGTGTAAAAAAGTTTGACCCATTGTATAAAATCTTTACCAAATTGAACTTTTGAAAGAGTATTAAAGATAAACTGATGATTTAAAACTATCAAATGCTTTTTCATAATCGGCAAAGAATAATAAACCTGGTTTGTTTTCTCTTTTGAAGATATTCAATTATTTCAAAAATCATCCTTACGTTTTCACCAATGTAACGGTTTTTCATGAAACCTGTTTGATTGAAACTAATTATAGTTGGCAAAACTTTTTTTGATGCGATTAGAAATAGTTTTTGTTGCTAATTTATAATCCACGTTAAGCAAACTTATTGGTCTCCAGTTTGATATATCTGTAAGATCTTTTTCTGGCTTTGGTATAAAGGGATATAATTCCTTGTCTTTTGAAGAGTTGTTAGTTTTGATATTTAAAAAGAGTAATTAATTGAATCAAGAAAATATTTTTTGATGCTATTCCAAAATGTCTTATAAAACTCGACGGTTAAGCCATCAGATCCTGGACTTTTGTTGTTTTTCATTTCTGATAAAGCTATTTTACATTCATATTCATTTAATATTCCTTCACATATGCACTTTTCTTCTTCATTTAATGATTTAATGTCTGTATTAAAAAAATTTAGATTTGATTTTTGTGGGGCTCTGTATTTGTATAAATTTTCAAAAAATGATTTTTCTTCTTTTAATATTTGTTTTGCGTCTGTAATTTCATTATTTTCTATTTTTAACTTGTGTACAATTTTTTTCTCCGCATGCTTCTTTTCTAAGTTAGAAAAGTATTTACTATTTTTTTCATTTTGTTCTATGTGAATAGCACGTGCTCTCAAAATCGAGCCATTTACACGGTATTCATAAATTTGTTCAAGTTCTTGCTTTTTAGATATCATTTCTTTATGTAATTTATTTTCATTGTTTTGTTCATTATTGCTAGTAGTTAGTATTTTTTTCTTCTAATTGTTTTATTTCTTTCATCAAATTTAACTCATTTTCTTTTTCTTTCTTTTTCTTTTGACTTGCATATCGAATTGTTTCATTTCTTATTGCTCCCTTTATAACCTCCCATAGAGTATTTGGATTGCATGCTGT